GAGTATTATCAGAGTAATACTCCAACATATGCAAAATGCTTCTGCACGTTAAATGTACACATAAAAGAAAAAATAATCGCAGCTCCTGTTTACTTTTCCAATTTCTCTCCACAGACTCAAAGCAGAACAGGTGGGGTTTTTTCAAAGTATTGTGGGTTTGTTTCAATTTATCTCAAAAATCTGGCTTCTCTTCATCTGTGCTTTCCATTAATGTGACACTGGTCTGTTCTTGATCACCTTAAACAACCTACTTAAAACTGCTGTGAGAGMTTTCCCTCTCTATGGCTCTAACAATGCAACACATTGGGTGGGACTCCTCTCACCTACCTTTAGACATTTATAGTGAAAATATTGATATTTACAATAATCAGCTAGGTCTGCTATAAGCACTGGGAAAAAAATAAGCGCATTCAGGGAACAAYCCACCTTGGTCAAAGCAAGAATTGTATCCCTAAAGCCTTAACAGAGGCAAAGATCTACAAGACAGATGTCTACACTGACTCGACAAATAAAATCACCCTTGTCTATTCCTACGCTCACCTTTTGGCTTAATTGAAATCCTGTTTGAAAATTAACTGCTTTCCTTTAAATTGTTCTCTATTATCAATTCACAGATGTGCCCTGTGGGAAGGATGTTGACTAAATCCTTCTCAAGGTTTTGACTCTGAGGTTCTTTCCTAGGAGAGAAATTGGTGGATGTGGCATACTGGTAACTATCATTCCATAAAAATATCTACGCAGAAGACCAATTACTATGTGTGTATGAAAATTAACAGTCTACTGATGCTTTGCGYGTAACTTCCCTTGGAAAATTAATGCCCATGGATATGTAACATGCACCCTCTTCTCTCTACTGCTTCCCTACGTTCTTCATTTTTCATTATCACWGCATTTCTTCATACAGCCTGTAAGACCTTTGGTAAAGAGTTATGTTTGCATGTCAGCATTAAAGATTATTATGAAAGCACAACAATTCCTGTAGTCTAGTTAAATATAATTGCAAGGGAAAGGGAAGACAGAAGCAAAGGGCAGTTCATAATTCATAGACCTCTCCTGTGATTTCAACCTTCTCCTTGCAGAATTTTGTGGGTAGGAGGAGGTAACAAATGAAACTCTCTGCTACTTTGTGCTAAAAGCCTGTGCCAGCCCTATAGTCAATGAAATTTATGTAAGGATAACCAAATCAATTCAGAAAMCAGTTTTGTTAATCTGACAGAGACCCTAAGAGTGCACAGCTTTAAGCTTCTCTGACAGCATCTGCAATTACTCTAGCCGAAGAGACACTTCTGAAACAAATCTAATGTTCATGGCAAAAGTTACATTAATTTATATCAGCTTCTGATTGAACTGACTACAATAAATCAGAGCGAGCAGGCACACAATCAGCTCTGCTGGCAGATTTGCAGATTGCTGGAAAGGGGCACAATAAGTCTCTGGAGTCTGGCTGTGAGTAATGCTCTCCACCAACACAGCTGGATCCTGCACAGTTGCTGACACCCACCAATATTATGTCTTACCCAGAATTGTTAGGTTTATAGCCTYTACCAAAAATAAAAACTTGTAAGCCCTGAGAGTATACTCAAGAGTAGAACAAACTTCAGGTGTCACTYCCCTCCCAGCATTTTCCTGCCTCCTCTTAGCCTGAGATTACTGCCTCACAACAGAGTCAATGGCATGAGACGCACACACTAGTCCCAGGTGCTTCAACACAAGGTCCAGCAAATTAGCCTAAACTGCTCTTAAGATGACTTTAACATCATATTTTGCATTAAAATGGTTTAGAAATACTAGTATTTTTCAATCCAAGGACTGTTGTGCAGGCAGGAATCTTCAGTATGAAGGTCAGGGAAGCAGTATTTTTCACAGCCAGATTTGCTCGAGTTTGACCCAGCAATAGAAAAGACCATGAAATTTCACACTTGCAGCTATTATTTTGCCATATTAAGAGGTTTATGAACTTCTGATTGTCTGGGTGGACAAGATGACCTTCTGAGCTCCCCTCCAACATGAATTACCCTATACACCTAGAGKAAATGGCTGGGAATCTGAAGACACGGTTCTTCCTGCCAACCCAGTCACTCAGCAAATCTTGGCAAACTGTGGAGACCCATGCTTACCAAAATTTCCTCAGAAGGGTCAAAATAGGTTGACACTGGTATTGTTCTAGTGTTGAACAACTGCTTTTCAAAGGGGAGGTCAGCTGTAGTGTGGAGACTCTCTGCCCTAGGAAGCAGCCCCACTCGAGTCAATTGCTACTAAAAAAAGGGATGAGGGAAAAAGCCCCAACCAGACAAATAGAGATTACGACCAAAGTAACAACCTTCTCTGTATCACAATTTCCTTGCGGGGGGATAMAACCCCCAGACAAAGCAGTACCTAAGGTACTAGTCTTGTGGGAAGGGATATTATGAAAGTGCTGCTTATCATCTGTTCTCCCCTAGACGCGCTGAACTCTGTAAGGCCTGTACAGCATCCATGCTTTTGGGTATGCAAAAAACCAGCAGGAATTGATGTCATGGGCATGCAAGTTCAAAGAAATCTGGAAGAGGGGGAAGCCAGAGTTGCAGCTGTTATAAATACATCACGATTTTGGCCTTGGTTCCAAAATCCTCACAAAGACATAAGAATCTCCACATGATTTTGAGGGAAACAAGGTCTGTAAATATATGAGTGACACATTCATGCATACTGTACCGTTTAAGAGGCATACCGAGCTATTAGTTTCAATACTGCTCTTTCATTTGTGTCAGTTAGCATTTCTGAGATCCTTATTGTGAGATACAACCTCACATTGCTACCTTAAAGTAACCACAACAGAAATTTTCCAGAGAAATCATGTACTACTATTGGGTTTGATCACAAGATCGCTGTCACAAGGCCGTTCCAGCAGCAAGGGCTCACTGTAGTGGTGCAGCTGCACACRGAAATACAGCTCAGATCTGCTGCTCAGTGGGCTGCTCCTGCTTCCACATCTCCTCTGCCTTTCTTGTGTCTGCAGCAGCTCTACAGACTCAGCTAATTCGGGAACTTTGTCCAGCTGAATTCGGTTAATTTTTTTTGGAGGAGCATAACTGGCTCTCCTCCAGATGAGATCCCAGGCTTGCCTTGCCAGATGGCATCATCAGTGTTACTGAAGTAAATAAAAAACAGGAAGGCATGGCCATGATCAGAGTGGAATGCAGGACTGCCCCTTTTGGTGGCAATACAGACAGGCTGGCTTGCATTAACTGTGAAATTACATCCTTTGAAAGGTTTATAACTGCATGGCTCCCCTTGCAGGACACCAGGCGGCTTGTATCAATTATGAGCTGCACACTTCAGAAATGCAAGGTAACATTCACCCTCAGGAGACAAACTGGGTGGTGCCGCCCTATGAGACTGCCTGTGATCACCAAATACCACCAAACACAAGGAACAGGGCAAGTCTCTAAATCTGTTCCTTTACTATAAAGCATCTTAAACCGTTATAGCAAAGATATATTGCGCCCTTCTGCATGCCCGTGCAGGATAAACGCATGTTCTGCATTTTCCAAAGCCGAGGGGGAGGCAGATGAGGTTTGCATTCAGAGTGTGAATGAGCTCTGATGTGAATTCAGAGCTCTTCTCGGTGGCTCYAGCTACAAGGACACGACGCAAGGGCAGAAACTGATGCACAGGAAGTTCCAGCTGAACATGATGAAGAACTTCTTTACTGCGGAATGACTGAGCACTGGAACAGACTGTCCAGAGAGGGTGTGGAGCCTCCCTTACTGGAGCTATTCAAGARCTGTCTGGACGCAATACTGCGCCATGCGCTCCTGATGGAGCAGGGAGTTTGGACCAGATGASCCCCTGTGCTMCTTTCCAGCCTGACGCATCCTTGTGACTGTGTTTTCAGCCTCCCCGGCCCGAGCACTGGCGCAGMACAGCGCAAAGCAGGGCCGGCACTCAGCAGCCAGCCTGCTTTGCTTCGGCACTCCCTCCCCCCTGGCCAGCCGGGCACTGCGCTGCTCCGGCTCCCGGATGCTCAGCGCGGAGCCGTGCTGAGGGCTGCGAAAAGCGGGCTGGGCGGCGGCGTCCGCAGCCATCGCCGGCGGCGCTTTTCTTTAGGAAGATGCCTTTCCACCGCCGCCAGGACAGGGCGGAGGCGCTCCGGAGGCCGGGGTGGCGATGCCGTCCCCTCCCCGCGCCTGCCGCCGCCGCCATGGCAACCGCCCGTCGCCGCGCGCGCTCTGACAGAGCAGCAGAGTTGCGCCCCCTCCCCGC